GAGAGAGAGAGAGAGAGAGAGAGAGAGAGAGAGAGAGAGAGAGAGAGAGAGAGAGAGAGAGAAATGGTCAATACAACCTGCTGACTCATCATGTAAAATACGCTATATCAAACACACATGAATCTATAACTCATAATTTAGATCATTCAGGTTTTACGAGGTTGCTCTAACGGTTAGTTGCCCACCGGTACAGTTCAAGGCTTTTCCGCCCGGGGGTTTTGGATAGCAGATCAGTAATCAATATAAGAAAGCATTATTCGTACTTTCGAAAAAAACTCCGTAAAGGCGAATTTACGTTTCGTATCGAATTTAGTGCTCATAAATTACAAACTCCTCATGGGAGAATTTCGGGAGAAAAATTTCGCAAAATTTATACGAGACATCCGCGTAGTGTCTACTGTCTATAGTATCAAGAGTAGATAATAACATGTTATTATCTACTCTTGATAGTATCTCTAGTTAATCTTATGCACGCATACGAACTGCATCTGCCAGCAAATATAATTATTAACATATTAAAACGCAAATACTCGCGATATCTATAAACCGTGACCTTTCTATATGTTAACGTTTACGATATAAACAACAGTAACTATGCATTCAACCATTTCCAGTATTTATGCTCTATGTAAACACATCGCGAAACATCATAATCACGTAGATGATGTATAATCATGTAGGAGAGATGTATTTATTTTGATAATAATGCAGAGAATTGTGAAAACAACTATTACAATAAAAATCTCAGATCTAAGTTCTGGGATGCTTACGGTAATGCGACTATATAACAATACATGGTAAATAAACTTACTACAACCCATCATTGCACCTAATACAAAAGACACTGTCCTGATGCTGTGAAATCATAGTCAACATGCGCATTCCATTAGGTATAAGGGACAGATAGAATGGCTTTCTGTGAAGTAGTGAACTCAAACCACCAAATGTGGAGTTAAATTGTTTATAAAGGAGCAAAACTCCTCGGAAGACAGGTATATGAATATGCAGATTACTACTGCTGAGAGGGTCTATGTCCCCCGGGGTACTGCCGGAACGTACCCTGGGTACGGTCCGGTATACCGGAACGTACCATGATACTATCTAATATGCCGGACCGTACCTCGCCTATTCCACTAACGAGTCTAGAAAGTCGCCTACGCCTACTCCTAACTCTATCCCTAACCCTAAGCCTAACCATATCAAATAGTGACCAGGGTACGTTCCGGTATACCAGACCGTACCCAGGGTACGTTCCGGCAGTACCCTGGGGGACATAGACCCTATGAGCATTACTACTTCGTTAACTAGTGCCCCCTTGTGGATAATGCACAATTACTTTTCAGGTTAGCAGAGTGTTTCCCATACCTTTATCTAACAATGACAAAGGTTCTGGTGAACACCTTTCTTAGGAGACCAGGAGACAGTGCCAACTTATATAAAACCATTTGGGACAATTCCATGAGGCATGAGCCGCATTCGTATATGCGACGCCATGCATTTCCTCAAATCCCAACTGATAGGCAAAATAACTACGTCCACGCACGCACCATATGGGTCACACGAACGATATATGGCGCGTTTGATCGAAAGTGTATTGGATCTCCAAGCGACACTCGTGAGCGTAAACAACAGGCAAACGAATTACGACTGTGTGAACGACCTTATGTGAATAACAACGATAACAAAACGTGGACACAAGTATTCCAGCACAGCTCTCTGTCTCTGGCGTTGCATACAGTGGCTCCCTCTCTCGGGCGCACACGTAACACACGGAAGAATGCGACCATCAACCGTGACCATCACCGATTCCTTGAAATTCTGCTACTCAAAATCTTGCACACGCGCGAAGACGCGGTAACAGTGATACATCAAAAACTTTGTTGATTAACAAAGTCGACGTACGCCCAAGTACGCAAGTGCCACTACCGTGAAAGCAAACTGACCTCTCTGGCTAGCGTCATTGACAGCCAGCTCTGCCCAATCAGTCGTGATAGGACGTTCTAAAAGACAAGTAAAAGACAAGCGTGGCAACATAGTACGTATTAAATGGTCTTGCTTGGCATAGAAGCAATAGCTAAGGTTATCTCGCTCACAGGTCAATTGCGAACTAGCAACCTCCCTTGAACGCAGTGCGAGTGCAACAGCCACAATCTGCCGTGCCACCACCTTGCCACCAGTGTGAGTAGCCACCATCAGAGCACCACACACGAGAACGTAACAACGCGAGCTTGCCTTCATATAGACGTACGTGTGATTTATACGACTTTCTTCGTTCACTGTCGATAAATGCTTTGACCAGCCCTCAAAGTGACTCATTAAAAAACAAGCAATTAATTGCTAGACATATATACAGAATTTACAAATATTTCTACACGATGATCTCCAATAAATACACACGAGTGTAGAATAATAGTATTTAAACGGTCTCCGCAATATTCATTTAGTTTTCAACATAGGAAAAGTATGACAAACTACAAAACACATCTCACGCTCTCTGTTCCAGTACTACACGTTTAGATGTTTACAAATAGCGTGTCACAAACATCTAAGACAACGAAATTCTGTGAGTACATGACGTACATTATGTAACAACAGATGTAAAAATCAAAAAGGATTTTTACTTCAATTCAGTAACCATATTTGTATAATATATCACAGCCTCAGATTTGTGGTACGTTTCTTGTGCATACGCTACACACACACACACACACACACACACACACACACTAGACACATGGTCTGTCTGTGATATAAAATCTAAACACAGGTGACATTAATACGGTCACCAGCACCTATCGTAGTGACACTATCTATCTCAATATAGACATGTGAAACAAAAGCAATAAGTTCACAAGAATTACATCAAGCACCACTTTGCAAATCGCATACTATCAAGTAGAAAGTAGAAAGCAAAATAACGAAAGCGTAGGTTGGCACAGGAGAGGGTGTATGCAAACACTCAATTCATCCTTTGGCGATGTTTTGCTGGGACTAAGAAGTAGCCAATCATATGTACCAAAACTACGTTTACGCTTGAAGTCTAAGTGACTATGAGCTACTAGTGTTAAACAGTAACGATCTATACTGTCCACCAAAACCTGATCGGTTAACTTAACTCGAAATTTTATTAACGTTTTAAGAAACTGTGGGTAGGTCGCCTGGTAAAAACGTAGAATAAAATCAGCCTCATGTGATGATGTTAGCCTTTGCTACACAGTTCCTTTGCACTCCACGACTTGCCAGAACGCAACAAACAGATCTCTGCTTTCTTACAGTCACTGTCACAAACGTCCCTGTGTAGCTTGTAACTGTACCTACAAACAACCAAACAAACGTTCAGTGCGCAAATAGCAAGGGGAACTCGGTGTATATTTATACAGTTACAGCTGGCAAATTTCCACATTAACTTTCTCTCCAAGCATAGGTACCACGTGTAACTGGTTTATCGGCGGCAGGGATTACCATAGTATACAGTTCACAGATTATAATAGCCTTCTAGCAGCAACAAATGTACCTTCATACTGACAGCTTTCATATAACATCTGACCATGTGACGTTTTACATATAACCCCACAAACGTTTCATACATGCACCACAATCCATCCCAGCAAGATCCAATAACACTACCACCACATAATAAAATTACAGATCTATATATTACACACACACACACATATATATATATATATATATATATATATATATATATACACATATATATATATATAAAAACTAAATATTATATAAAAAAAAAATATATATATATAGATATATAATTTTCACCTGAAGTACTGCATGAACAGGTCGTCGTCCTTCTCCATGCGATCGACGAGGTCGTCCCAGTCGCTCGGCCGCAGCGACGCCATCTTGTACGCGTCGCGTGCCGTGTACTCGAGCTGCCACTCGACGTCACCACCGTCGCTGCGGTTCAGCTCACTGAGGTTGGCGACTCGCGTCTCGTGGTCGAGCACGATGTGCGAGCTCGCCGCGTGAGCGCCATCTAGTGTGTAGACGCGGTAGCCGATGTTCATCTGAGTGTAGGGTGTCAGCGACGGAGCGATGTAGGCGACGGAGGTCGCGCGCCGCGGCAGATCCCCCGCCGCGTCGTCGTAGAACAGCTGGAAGTGGTCGCGGTGCGTGTGTCCGAAGAACTGAGCCCTCACCGTGCTCTCGTACCTACAGGATGGTGGGAGACATCCAACATTAGGGCAGGGGCAGATGGGGCATGTTTAAATCTCTTCACAGCGATTTCCTTATGTGACATGGTATCAGAAGTGGATAATAGGGAAGGAGTGTGACTTCAATAAACATGGGAAATTCGTCATTTACTAGCCTTAGAATACCTACGATTCACTACGCGTAACTCAACCAACTTGAGTACACAGTACACAGTACATTCGCCTAGCATCGTGCGAAATCGTTTCCTCGTACACACCCGCAATCCGGAGATACAGACTAAAACGTACGACACTATTCTCCATTCTGTTGCCAGCCAAACGAATCCATAACCTGCCTAACTTGAAACAATAGGCAGCTACTAACGACTCTTGCGCCCTCGGCGATGCGGTGTGGCTCGCTGGGAAATAGTAACTTAACTAGTAGATAGGCTACTTAAGGACGGCATGCTTTCATATTTCCATGTTAGATAAATGGACGAAACAAGTGCAGATTACTATTATGCATTCAGTGCAGTATGATTACAGTATGTTTCCCAAATGGTCGGAAGCCCTACCTGTTAATTATCTTATAGTAGTTGTTACTCCACGCTTTTAAGCAGTCATTCGTTCCTGGTGGAATGTGACCGATAATGTGGACCTGAAATTACAGATTTATTAGTTTACTGGATGACCAACTTGACAGAACACATCTAAAAATTAAAGTACTGTCCAGAACTATATTCAAAATCAAAGTAAAACTAAAAAAAATGATTAAACACATTATCGTAGCTCCAGGGACAGCTACCTTGCTGGCCTACTACAATGACAATAAATAATATGAAAGTGTCAATGACACTGTAGCTCACCACAAAAAAGGACACAAATGAGTGAGTGAGAAGAAGTCAGTTTTAATTGAGCAACCATCGACGTACATTATAGAAACGAAGAGCATATATGGACTCCCATTATATACTCTTGATAATTATGTGTAATTTTTTATGTGAAAATAAATGTTTGAGATGTGAAAGTCTGAGATGTAGGCGAGTGATGGCATTACACCTAAATGATCGCTATTAAACGTTTTTATAATATTCAGATTTAGGCACTGCCTAAAAGCGGACCTCCCGATGTGTAACGTGTAAGATTGAGAGGATACGCTTATTCCACGTAGCTGCTATATACCACGTGACAATGGTGTTTTCCTGCCCATAACACAACTTTTGTCAAAGGTTAATTGGTTGCATGGAAGTGTTTACTTCGTATGAGTTTTTCTATGCGGTAGCACACGGTTGCCATCTGTATATCACAATAATAATTTATAAACCAAAATGAATCACAATTTGTGACGGTAGACGGCGCTATACCCTATTTGATGTTTCTTAGCGATGGCGTTCGAAATAAATAGGTTATGCTGCGTTCCGACATGTTTTGTAAAACTTTACTCTAATATAGACGTTTTATCGGCAGGGTGGAGAGGAAATACCAATTTTGCATTAAAGATATTGTCAATGAAATCTTGTAAAATGAACCAGACGAGTGTGGCATCCCAGACTGTTATCTGCGTATCTAAATGATATGCTATATAATTGCCAAAACCAAACTTATTTGCTTTTTTGTTAAGTATCAAAACCCCTGTAATACGTTTTGGGGCCAGCCCTTATTCATTCACATACCAAAAATGAGCAAAATCCGTTGAACCTGAACTGACTAATGGCAATTTCCATTTTTGCCAAAAAAATTGCCGTGGCTCGAAAGTACGTCGACTGGCGTGCTCCAAAATAGGACGTTCAAATCTCTCCCATAGCAGTAACAACAACTATACCCAATTTCAAACATGTGGGTGAAACGGTGTAAGGTGAGCTAAAAATGAACATTCAGTAGTATATTCATGTTTCTCACTTGAATAAATTTTAGCATCAACCGATGTCTAATGACTGACCTTATCGCCGACATTTTCAGCATCCTGTAGTTGGTTAATGAGCCAGGCCAATTCTCCATTAGGATCAGTCATGTTTATCATCAGCCACCTGCAGACAAAATAACCAAATAATATATGCATCCCATACGTGCCCCCTACTAAATAATCAACAAACCTAAACACAAAAGCCTCTTAGACTGATTAAGAACACTGTTCAGTGTAAAAACATCTTTGCAGTACCACGACTAAAATATTAAATAGTACGCACCAGTTCATGTCATTGCAGTAGTTCATATTCAGTGATAGCAGCCTAAGTTTCTTGCCCAGCTGAATGGAATAGTAGGCGCCATGTTTGACAGAGGTTTTGACACTGCTAGGAAGCCAACTAGCTGTCCATGTCTCTGCCAGAACGTCATACAGCCAAGCCATGGAATCGTTCCCAGTGACGTAGTCTGGAGGAAAACTGTAACATGGGTGATGAAGAAAATTGGCATCACGTTACATCAGAAAATGCACATAGTGGACAGAGTACCTGGTGATAATTTTACTATATTTCTGGATAAAGATTACCAGCAGAGTTAAAAAAATATTCGATCTAACCACTGCTCACATAGTTCTTCCACTTCACCTAGTCGAATAGGCTAAACACATTTTTTGCCAAAATTTACCTTATCTACAATTAAGTTCATTTTCTGACTTTTTCCTGTATGCGCGCGCGCGTGCATGCGTGCATGCATGCGTGCGTGTGCATCGTGCATGCATGCGTACGTGTGCACGTGCGTAAGTTAACGTATTACACACAACAGCATTACCCTGAGTTCACAAACATGTATTATTGAAAGATGGATGTCAGAATGCATCCCTCCTAGTATCCATCTAAAGAATATATTCTTTTGCAATCAATAAACATTAATAGCTTAAACCATCCCTAGGATGTATAGCTCTAACACATATACAGTAGGTTTCCTTGCCTTTGATTTCATAAACAGGTTCATTCGAATACCGTCTCAACAGCATAGGATTTGTACCTGTTCACTGGGTTTCCTTCGTGATTTCCAAGTGCAGGAAAGATGGGTTTTCCAGGGAAGTACTGCAGCATCAGCTCAGTTACATTACGGATGATAGCTAACTGACTCTCACGTGTCTGCATCCAGACATCATGCGGTGGTAGGTCCCCTGTCCACATGATGTAGTCAAACTGAAAGGAGAGAAAGTCCTGCACTGTGAATGTTATGCATCATTACCAAATGGAATTCCACTGGGCATACTCATTTATTGCAGGGTGTGTACGGTGATTATAGACTGTGCACAGTCAAAAGTTAAAAAAAGCAATCATCTAAAATCGTTATCTCTCTTCTGATATGCGTGATACATATGCTATAAACAGGACGTACAGCAAAACTGTCAGTGTCTCGCTTTTCTGCGTTAGTTAATCCCAGTACTACAATAATACCTAACATTTATATGTGTTAGCCAAAGTTTCACACTAGTGAACATTTACAGAACACACGATACAGGTCCATCATACCTTTTCATGCTTGGAGATGTGCTCCAACGCCTTTTGTAACGTCCACATCGGCATGTCACAGTTCCTATAGTCGCCCCATTTTCCCGCACCCTCAGATCCGGCTTTCGGGGATCCTTCCCGACAGCAGAGAGGGTGGTTGCATTCAGCATTGGATCCGGGTAGATAGAACGGATCGAAGTGTATATCTGTCAGATGCAGAACTCGAAGCTTGGGTGCATCTGGCTGTAACAGCACAAGAGCAATCGCATACTTTCATAAACAAAACACTAAATCGATTTTATTGACGATGAAAATTACACAGTCTGCTTAGCATCTGTACATAAACAAATACAAATTCAGACAGCAACTTGAAATTAGCACTTCACCAGATTTCATGTTCATACAAGAGTAAATTTATTTGATAATAAATTTATGTTTTTAACATGTTAGTTAAGACAACTGGACTAGGTGTCTTGGTTAAAGGTGAATCAATCTCAATGTGTTAGCCTCGAAAAAAAAACACCAGATCAATTGTCAAAACTGTTGCTAACAGGTTAAACAAATAAGATTTATCATAAAATAAATTTTTCTTAGATGTGATTATATTTTAACAACTACTATATATATCTTAAAATTATAACGGTATGTTTATTAATGGGGCATAAAGCTGGTTTCTACTACGTAACCCTTTTGACAACTCAAGTGTATCGTACTAAGCAGTCCGATGCAAAACGTCACTAAGACATACTGTGCGGTTATACCTTTGGTGTTGGAATTGGTTCAACTGGTGGTTTCTTAGTATGAGGCAGATCGATTGACCAGCTTTGGAATGGGTCAGCATCAGACGAACATTGTGGTCCTACAATGATGCCACATATTTGGCTAGATGAAAGAGACAATTCAAGGATCGCATCCATCTCATCCTGGAAAAAAATTACACAGAAAACCTTATATTACCAATTTACATGTGGGTATACTGATGACCTGGGCCTGCTATGCATAATGCATAAAACCCATGTGGGTTCAACAGAGGTTATGACATGCCATTCACGTCTGAAGTTACAAACTTCTATACAATCACTACAAAATTCATCAAAACAGTTAGACGTGCACATGAATTTACAGTTAATGTGATGTTGGTTTAATCGACTGAATAGACCTTACCTTAAATAATTTCTTCATTCCTTCACAGACTTCCGCCGTTTCTATGTGGAAGTGTGTGCAGATCCAATCCATCGCTGACATAACGTCGCCGTGCTTATTGTGCAACTCTTGGAGCAAGTCGGCAGCCAACTTACAGCTGCTACATGACTCGAACACACCCGCCAGGGAAGATTCCATCCCTCCCACAATCTTCTTCTCCATCCTAACTATGAAACCATCTTTGTGCCGCGGACGATAGAAGTCAGTTTGGAAAGCGTTTGCATTCTTGACCATTAACGGTTTAGTGTTGCAGTGTAGGATGCTCAGAGAGACCAAGAAAGTTAGTAGAAGCAACTTGCTACACTGTGCCATGGTGAAAGTGCTGTAATAGACCAAAATGTATAATTTTTAGATAGTAAGGCAACATGAATACATCAAAGTGAAAACGAAGAATCAGAAATAAATAGCATGAAACTGCATGTAAAGCACCTAGATTCAATCATGAATTTCCTCCCACTTACTGATGAACATTGGTGTAAACAAGGTTACACGTAGTCAAGAGTAGAAAATAACACGAGAGTGAGACACTTGATTCCCGCATTTTTAACCGATTTTTCTCATCAAAATTTGCCACCAATAAAGAAGCGATCCCGCATTTTTAACCGATTTTTCTCATCAAAATTTGCCACCAATAAAGAAGCAAGTGTATACGTTCCACAGGTTATTATGACCACTAATCACTCACCTTCGCGGTACTGATATTCGTTTACATATATTTGCTAGCGTATTGCTGTAAATCGTAATCTTGCACGAGCTGAATTCGCACAATTTACCGCTATTGTGTGAGGTGTTAAGGCAAAATTTGAAGCTATAGTGGCGCCAATATTTAGCAACGAACTGTTTCCAAATCATTCGTGCCCCGATAGGGTTGAGAGACAATCAAAATTTCCAATTTTGATCTCGTGAGGAACCGCGAGACGCGCTCAGTTATTGTGATCGCAACACAAGAAATTGACATACTATCTTACATAAGTATTAATACAATAATAACAATATTCTCTGTAGTAGTTTGCAGTAAGTATCACATTACGCACGCGCAGGTAATCAAGTACATTAAACCCCTATCGGGGCACGAATGATTTGGAAACAGTCCGTTGCTAAATATTGGCGCCACTATAGCTTCAAATTTTGTCTTAACACCTCACACAATAGAGGTAAATTGTGCGAATTCAGCTCGTGCAAGATTACGATTTACAGCAATATGCTAGCAAATATATGTAAACGAATATCAGTATCACGAAGGTGAGTGATTAGTGGTCATAATAAGCTGAGGAACGTATACACTTGCTTTTTTATTGGTGGCAAATTTTGATGAGAAAAATCGGTTAAAATGCGGGAATCGGGTGTGTTACTCTTGTGTTATTATCTACTCTTGAGTCTTGACGTAGTACATATCAACCACTACGCAACCTACTCACAATGGCATAATTCACACTCGCTATTCTGTGAACAAAAATATTGACGTGGTAATATCTCACACGAGGATAAATAATAATGAATATATCATAGTGCCTGCAGAACAGAATGATGGACCAATATATTGTATGCGCTAACAGTGGCTTGCTCTAGATCCCACTACTTGTAAAACTGCTGGGAACACAAATCATTGACCAAATTCAATCATCAATTTTTCAACAATCAAGTAAACGCCCTGTCACACTGACTTGGGTAGTGTTGTTCAACTTCCACAGTCACCGAGTCAGGTCACCACATGTAACCACGCTCAGTTTCATGAGCGACGTATGGTTTTAGCTGAGAGTGAAAGGACCCTGTTCAAGGGAAGAAGACTTATTCCTATTTGTCTTGCATAATACCGCTCAAGAACTCTACTAAGCAGTACCAGGTTGTAAGTGTAACACAATTATTTACGTGTACACGTCTTACAATACAAGGTACAGTGCTAACCGGAACATTCCAATTTAATTTGATAAAACTAATGCACAGACCAACCGTCTATTACAGGGTTTGAAATCCTAATGGGCCCGCGGGCCCGATGCCCGTATTTCAAGGCTCGGGCCTGAAATTTCTAATACTAGCAGGCCCGATGGGCCCGTAGAAAATCCACCCCAGCATGCAACTAGCAGCATGCACTTTTCTACCCCAGCATGCAACTAGCAGCATGCACTAGTTAGTGATCTCAGCGCCGGATTCAAGAAGAAATGCGTACGCAGGTGAAAATGTAGAACACCTCACCACGCACAACTTTAGTTGGCATTCAAGAAACGTGCGTGGGATATTCGGACGCACAGGTTAGCACAGGTTCCTGAATCCAGACTAGCAGTGTTGGCATACCAAAAATCGATAAGAAGTGGGTGGAGCTTACTTTTGGCCAGTGGCAGTGAACCTCACATTGTGTTGGCCAGGATTTATTTACATGCACACCATTGCACGGGTCATACGGCACGCTCACTGTTCACATGCGCAAGGCTGTGGAGTAATTCGCACATATATTGACATCCCCGCGCATTTCACGTTTGGATGTAAACAATAAAGTATCACTGGTAGTTAACAAACGATCAGTATATACTGTTTTAAAACTAGAAAGGGCAGTTGTCGCCAACTGCATGTATCCCCCGTGTTCTCCCCAAGATGTAAGGTTACCCCCCACCCCCCTGTAAGTAAACGAAGTTTGGTCGTGCTAGGTCAATTAGGGGCCGAGTTACAGAGCGGAAGGGAAATATGATGAAGGTCAAGGTCAAATAAAGGTTGCAGTGACCTGGTTTCGGTACGCGACACACCTTCTCCCCAAGATGTGTAAGTATACCAAGTTTGGTCGCGCTAGGTCAATTAGGGGCCGAGTTATAGAGTGGAAGGAAAATATGACCAAGGCCAAATAAAAGCCTAAGATGTGTAAGTATACCAAGTTTGGTCGCGCTAGGTCAATTAGGGGCCGAGTTATAGAGTGGAAGGAAAATATGACCAAGGCCAAATAAAAGCCGCAGTGACCTTGTTTTGGTACGCGACACACATTCTCCCCAAGATGTGTAAGTATACCAAGTTTGGTAGTGCTAGGTCAATTAGGGGCCGAGTTAGAGAGCGGAAAGAAAATATAATCAAGGTCAAAGTAAAGGCCAAATAAAGGTCACAGTGACCTGGTTTTGGTACACTGCTCACCTTCTCCGCAAGAAGTGTAAGTATACCAAGTTTGGTAGCGCTAGGTCAATTAGGGGCCGAGTTAGATGGTGGAAGGGAAATATGATCAAGGCCAAAGTAAAGGTCAAATAAAGGTCGCAGTGACCTGGTTTTGGTACGCTGTTCACCTTCTCCCCAAGATGTGTAAGTATACCAAGTTTGGTAGCGCTAGGTCAATTAGGTGCCGAGTTAGAGAGCAGAAGGGAAATATTATCAAGGTCAAGGTAAAGGTCAAATAAAGGTTGCAGTGACCTGGTTTTGGTACGCTGCTCACCTTCTCCCCAAGATGTGTAAGTATACCAGGTTTTGTAGCGCTAGGTCAACTAGGGGCCGAGTTAGAGAGCGGAAGGGAAATATGATCAAGGTCAAGGTAAAGGTCAAATAAAGGTCGCAGTGACTTGGTTTTGGTACTCTGCACACCTTCTCCCCAAGATGTGTAAGTATACCAAGTTTGGTCACGCTAGGTCAATTAGGGGTCGAGCGCGGAAGGAAAATTCTCTGCGGCGGACCGAGCGGCGGCGGCGGCTGGGGAGACATGAAACCATGATAGTATCCCCGCCGACTTCGTCGCGGGGGATACAATAATATTAAGAAGATTTAGGTAATATAGCATGTTGAATTATACAGTAAATAATAATAATTGTCTCAAGTTGACACACATAAGTCACTGTAGTCTGTAGGCTGTAGCTGCAAAGCATGTCGACAGCCTCGTCGCACCACTCAGGTTTAAAGTGTGTATTGCGAGATTTTTGCTTAGAAAAACTAAATATAGCTGAATATAGTCTCACCTGACAGTGGAAATATAACTAATTACACCAACATTAAAGCCGCACAATGCGCATCCAAACGCTATTTTATCCAGTACTAAACTAGCACATCAGCTACATTGTACTATAACTATAACTTATAAGTTATAAGTATAACTATTTACAAACGCAGTGGCACTGACTACATTTCCATCCAGATATCAAAGTGAATATAGTGCCTCTATATGTTGAATACACGTATTAGGCCTACCTGACTACAACGCAGTATCAGTTCCTCATCACTCGGTTAATTCTTTTGCCGATGAAGACAAACTCTTAACAACTACGGTAATCAATGAAATGGAGGCGTGATATTCGGATGGCGTGAGTGGCGACTTGTCCAATAGACGGACTCCAAACGTCAACGTAGTCCCGAGGCTACGCCGACAAAGTTGGTGCCATAAACGGCGTATATAATGTGTCAGTCTACTCTACAACGCTATGGACGAGACCTCTACATCGTTGCTTAGGCATTATTACAAGTTGTATCGATGCTATGAAATGACAGGGGTCAGTCTAATAACGACGCCAAAAGAATCGTACGATTACCTGCCACGTTATGATATTTCTTGTAACGGAAGGTAGCTACTTCATAGAACAACAAGTCAGATTATATAAAACCATGTCGAAACAATATAGGTAAAACTAAATTTTACAATGTCTCTAAATTTGAATACATAATACTTAACTTCAACTACTGAACAACGCGCACGTCGTGAGCGTATTCGCGAGGTATTGTTTACATGTGGAGGAGTTTAGAGAAAGTTTGGCGTAGGCCCTACGTGAGAGTGAGATGTACAAATAATCTTATCACCGTCATGATTAAATCGTCATAGTAAATTAGGTTAGTACTCGTAGTCTTGTTGCCACAACATTTGCTTAACATACAGGCAAGTACCAACGATCTGTTCATCAGAGAAGATGACTAGGGTAGCACAGAAAATGTCTCTTCTGCACTCCCTGAAAAAGTGAAATAGCCTAGGCCTACTAGTACTAGTAGTAGTAGTAGTACTAGTAGTACTAGTACTACTA